TTGAGAAGAGTTTGTTTGATGAACAGAGCTGCACCATTGTTTGGGGCATATATATTTATGATTGTTATGTCTTGTTGGTGTATGGTTTCCTTGAGCAGTATGTAGTGTCCCTCTTTATCCCTTTTGATTAACTTTGGCTTGAAATCTATTTTATTTGATATGAGTATGGACACTCCTGCTTGTTTGCGAAGTCCATGTGAGTGATATGATTTTTCCCAACCTTTCACCTTCAGTCTATGTATGTCTTTTCCTATCAAATGCATCTCCTGTAGGCAGCATATTGTTGGGTCTTGTTTTGTGATCCATTCTGCTAGCCTGTGTCTCTTAATTGGTGAGTTTAAGCCATTAACATTTAGGGTTATTATTGAGATATGGGTTGTTCTTCCAGCCATATTTGTTTATTTATGTTACTAAACATGGTTTGTTTTCCTCTTTGATTATTTTTCCCCCCTTTACTGTCCTACCTCCCACTGTTGGTTTTCATTGTATTTTCCATTTCCTCTTCCTATAATGTTTTTCTGAGGATGTTTTGAAGAGATGGTTTTCTAGCTGCAAATTCTTTTAACTTTTGTTTATCATGGAAGGTTTTAATTTCATCTTCCATCCTGAAGCTTAATTTCACTGGATACACAATTCTTGGTTGGAACCCATTTTCTTTCAGTGTTTGAAATATGCTATTCCAGGATCTTCTAGCTTTCAGAGTCTGTGTTGAAAGATCAGCTGTTATCCTGATTGGTTCACCCCTAAATGTAATCTGCTTCCTTTCTCTTGTAGCTTTTAAAATTCTCTCCTTATTCTGTATGTTGGGCATCTTCATTATAATGTGTCTAGGTGTGGATCTCTTATGATTTTGGACATTCGGCGTCCTGTAGGCTTCTAGGATTTGGGATTCTGTCTCATTCTTCAAGTCTGGGAAGTTTTCTCATATTATTTCATTGAATAGATTGCTCATTCCTTTGGTTTGGACCTCTATTCCTTCCTGTATCCCAATGACTCTTAAGTTTGGTCTCTTGATGTTATCCCATATTTCTTGGATGTTCTGCTCATGGTTTCTTAACAGTCTTGCTGAGCTGTCTATGTTCTTTTCAAGTTGAAATCCTTTATCTTCATTGTCTGATGTTCTATCTTCTAAGTGTTCTACTCTGCTGGTAGTATTCTCATTTGAGTTTTTAAGTTGGTTTATTGCTTCCTGCATTTCTAGGATTTCTGTTTGTTTGTTTTTTATAACCTCTATCTCCCTGTATAGTTGATCTTTTGCTTCTTGGATTTGTTTATGTAATTCATTGTCGAAGTGATCTTTCATTGTCTGATTTTGCTGTCTAATGTCTTCCTTGAGACTCCAGATCATCTGAAGCATGTATATCCTGATTTCTTTATCTGACATTCCATCTGCTGCAGCTATTACCTCTTCTAAAGTTGAGTTGACCTGCATTGCTTGTGGTCCTTTCTTTCCTTGTCTTTTCATACTGCTCACGTTTTTTTCTGCTTGGTGAAACTGTTGTGTTTTTGAAATTTTCCCCCTATATACTTATATTGCTCTTGTATAGTTGAAAAGTCTCCCTTGCTGGGTCGGGTGGCAGCTGTGCTCCTCCTCCAATTGGGGTGATCTGTCTACCACGCTGACGGGCCGCTGGGCCTGTTCTGCTGGTCGGTCGCAGGTCTGCCTACCTTGCAGGTGCGGGCGTCGGCTCTGCTCTGCCCTTACTCCAATTGGGGTGACGTGACTACCATGCCGGCGGGCCGCTGGGCCTGTTCCAGGCATGGGCAGCAGCTCTTCTCTGCCCCTACTCCAATTGGGGTGACGTGTCTACCATGCCGGGAGGCCGCTCGGCCTGTTCTGCCGGTCGGTCGCAGGTCTGCCTACCTTGCGGACACAGGTGGCGGCTCTGTTCTGCCCGTACTCCAAATGGGGTGACGTGTCTGCCGCGTCGGCAGGCCGCTGGGCCTGTCTCGCCGGTCGGTCGCAGGACTGCCTACCTTGCGGGCATGTGTGGTGGCTCTGCTCTGCCCCTACTCCAATTGGGGTGACGTGTCTACCATGCCAGCAGGCTGCTGGGCCTGTTCTGCCGGTCGGTCGCAGGACTGCCTACCTTGCAGGTGCGGGCGGCGGCTCTGCTCTGCCCCTACTCCAATTGGGGTGACGTGACTGCCACGCTGGCGGGTCGCTGGGCCTGTTCCGGGCGCGGGTGGCGGCTCTTCTCTGCCCCTTTGGGTTGATGACAAAGTGAGAGAGACTCGGGTGTTTGTGACTCACTTTCTTTACCAGGAGACCAACTGTTTCTGTCACCGCTGGTATCAATGAAGTTATCTCCTCCGCCGCTTTCTGATGACATCAGATCTCTGCCATGTTGTTATCCCATGCGAATGGCAGCATTTCGTTCCCTTTGCTGGGTGACCAAAGCAACGGGTGAGCCCTGACCGGCCCTCACAAGCCCCGTCTCAATCCTGTTGCCACTGCCTATGAAGGCTCGGTTGGTATTTACCTCCACAGTATTCAGCAGGACCTGGACCGAGAAGCAGTTTCTGCAGGTTCTTTAGCACTGGGCCAGAGCAGTTCTGGGAGCTGGAATTCGGCTGCTCCGGGCTCGGTGTATGTTCTGATAGGCGCAGGCTCCAAGAAGCAGTTTCCGCGGGTTCTTTAGCACTGAGCCTGAGTAATTTGTCTGTGAGACGCAGGTGAATGGCAGCCTGAAATTACCTGTTCTATGGCTGAATGAGCTGCGATCAGTCGAAAACAGGGATGGTGACGTCAGCTCTCCAATATGGTGGCCGCTGGCTTCCTCTGTGGTCTGACCGGTGTGGAGAACCGAATTGGACCACTTCCTTCCCCCGTCTCAAACCCAGAATTCAGCACTGAGCACAATGATTGCACAGCTGGCAGGATCCCGCAGAATCTGCAGCGCTGTATCTTTGCGTTGCTATCTCGTCGTTTCCCAGCGCATGCCACAGACTCTAGCCGCGTGGTGATTTGCTGAATAAGCAGTGTGACCCTCAGTGCAGACAAATCGTTCACGTTTGAGCGCCCGTAGCTGATCCTCGTGCGATGGAAATCCTTCCTCTAGGTTTTGGAGCACCCAAATTTTGCTGGAAATTCCTAACAAGATAGCTTTTAGCAGTTCTAACTCGTCATTCTCCCGCACAGTGACGCGGTACACAGGGGTAATTCACTCCCTTCGTCGCCATCTTCTCAAGCTCTCCCTTTTTTTTTTTCTCTCCAGCTTCCACAAAGGAGAGAAAACATAATGCTTGATTCTCCGAGACTGGCTTATTTTGCTTAACATGATGTTCTCTAGTACAATTTTTTTCTCTAGTACCATCATTGTGAATTATACAATTTCATTCTTCTTTATGATTCACTAAAACCACATTGTGTATATATGCCACAATTTCTTAATTCATCTGTTGATGGACGATTAAGTTGGTTGCCTAACTTGGCTATTGTGAATTGCACAATAAACATGGGTATACATTGTATCATATCACTATAGTATGCTGACTTTAGTTCTTTTGGATAAATACTGAGAAGTTGTATAGCTTGGTCGTAAGTTGTTTCTATTCCTAGTCTTTTGAGAAGCCTCCATACTGATTTTCATAGAGGTTGTGCTAATTTACAGTGCCATCAACAGTACAAGTTTTCTTCTTTCCCTTGCTAGAATTTATTATTATTTGTATTAATGATTGCCATTCTACCTGGAATGCACTGAAAGCCTTCCCCGCCCCCCATTATTAACACTAACTTTAGTAGGGTATGTTTTTCACTTGTAATAATCAAGGTTGACACATTATTACCAAGGTCCATGTTTTATTCAGATTTTCTCAATTTTTACCTAGTGTCCTTTATTTTTGTTTCAGGATCTCATTTGGTTATCTCATTGGATTTAGATGCTGTGTCTCCATAACCTCCTTTAGGTCATGACAGTTTTTCAGATTCTTATTTTTTATCACTGTGACAGCTTTGAGAATTAATTGGTGGTCATTTTGGGGGCTGCTTTTCAGTGAAATTTGTCTGATGTTCTCATAATTGGATTGGGTTGTATGTCTTGGAGGAATATCACATAGGTAAAGTGCTATTCTCATATATTATAACATGTCATATAATATCATATCATATCATATCATATCATATCATATCATTTGTCATTCCATGGATTTGTATTATGAACATGACATTACTCTTAAGTAAACTTGATAATTTGATGAAGTAGTGTTTGTCAGTTTTTTTTTCATTTGTAAAAATTACTCTTTTTCTCCTTTATGTACTCTAAAGAAGTTACCATGTTCTTTAGAGGATTTGAGCTCCATTTACTCTAGGGTGGCCTGTATGTACATACATCATTTGGAATTCTTCTGCCTGGGAAATTTAGACAAATTCTCACTTATTTATTTATTAAATAATTTGTATCAGTATGGACTCATGGATATTCATTTTTTGTTTCAAATTCCTGACTTACATTTATATAATTAAAAAGGTGCCCTATAGTGACTATTTCTAGAAGATTTAAAATTTTATCTATTTTCTATCCTTAAGCAGGAAAATTGCTACCAAATTTTAAATGAAAATTTATCAAAAAGGAATTGATATATAATTTCCTCTTATTTTATCATCTTTATTTTCATTTTTAAAAATCAGTAGTGAAGTTGAATAGAGAAGAAGGGTTAAGAGCAGGGACTCTGAATCCTAACTGTTGGATTCAAATCTCACTCCGAAACTGCCTTCTTTGATCTTAGGCTAGTTTTCCCAACTCAGCTTCTACATCTTCAAAATGAATAAAAAATAATTATACTTGATTCATAGATTTATTACATGGATTGAGTTAATATTTGTGAAATGCTTAGAGCAGTGCTGTGAACATACTACATGCTATACGAATAAATTAATTCATTTGAATTGATGATCCTAACAATTGGGGGAGTTGAAGTTTTATCAAAGGAATCTTGGGCTTCAAAGCTTTTTCTTTTTCTGCAATACTGCATATAATATTCTGTCATATAAAGTTGGCTTATTTCCTAAACACATACTCACTCAAGCCAAGCACCCTCTGGAAGCTCACTCGTAGCTCTTGAGTCCTAAGGGCATATACCATGGGGTTAAGGGATGGAGGGATGACAATATGCAGCACATTGAGAACAGGGATTAGGGGAACCCTTATTTCTTCTAGGTGGGTGACTGATACTAAAATAGTAGCTGTATAGAAAAAGATAATTAGAATGAGGTGGGAACTACAGGTACTCAGGGCCTTAGATGTTGCTTCAGCTGAGTTCAGCTTCAGTACTGAGTGAACAATCAAAGCATAGGAAGCAAAGACCAGAATCATGTCACTCCCAACAACAAGCCAGGCCAAGGCCAACTGGTAAAACCTGTTAATGGTGATATCATCACAGGCCAGACTAGTGACCCCCAAGTTAGAACACATGCAGTGATCAATTTCATTCTTGGAGTAGTAATGTCTCTGGGCAGCCAGTACAGGTACTGGGATGGTCAATAGGCCGTTCCTAAGCACCATGGACAGTATGGCTTTGATAACAAAAGCTTCAGTAATTATGGAGGGGTATTGAAGGGGATAACAAATGGCTATATATCTATCCAGTGCCATGCAGAGGAAGATGCCTGACTCCATGCACATAAAAGAATGAATGGCATATATCTGAGCAAAACATTCAGGAAGGCTGATGGCCTTGGAATCAAACCATAGGATGGCCAGGATCTTGAGCATGCTGGTGGTAGCCAGGCCAATGTCTACCACAGCCAGGATACCTAGGAATTGATACATGGGCTGGTGCAGGTTAGGCTCATGGTGGATGGTGATTAAGACAAAAAGATTAGCAACAAGAGCTAGGAGGTAAAGCAGAGCCATGGGCAAGGACAGCCAGTGCTGCCACTCATGAATGCCTGGAAGTCCCATCAGGATGAATTCAGATACTTGAAACCTTGAGCTATTGGCTGTACACAGGGCAATATCCATATCATGAAATGTCTTGTTCTCAGCATCTGCCTGTGGATTCAGGAGAAAATAAATAAGGCTTTCGTTAGCTATGCTGAGAGTAGAGGAATAAAGCTCACCTACAATATCATGGTCCCTTATAATGTAATGCATTCTCAACCCTCTTGAGAGACTTGGAAAATGTTCAGATAAGGCAGAAAGACCAAAATAGATTCTAAAATACTTTAGTGCAATAAATGTGAGTATCTACAATCTTTTCCTCCAGAAATCCTGGGGTGGATTTTTAATATGACAAACATGGACTCAAAGTGAGAGAGATGTACATTAGATAAAGGGAAGCAGCAGTGTTTCAATTTGGGGGATCTCATGTCAGAAATTATGTAGTCATAATATAAACCCTGACTGTGCTTTTCTTTTAGACAGTGTCTTGTGGTTGGCAAATGGTGTCTAATATTGATCATCTCATTGCATCTTTACCATTCAGTTATTTACATATGAAGAAACTGAGATTGAATGAGTTGGATACATTGAAAACACTAATAAGTGACTAAACTATAGCAAAAATATTAAATGCATGTTTTAATATTATCCCTCCCATAAAATTGCAGCCAACACATCAGTATCTGTTAGGATACATCCTTATTTCCCCCTCTAATTAGGAAAGTAATATTAAATGGACCTGGAGGATATTATGTTAAGTGAAATAAGCCAGACACAGAAAGACAAATACTGCATGATCTCACTCATTTATTGAGTCTAAAAAGGGAAAAAAGAGGAAATAGGTCAACAGTTATGTTGACCAAATTATCCTGTATGCACGTGTGAATGTAGCACTGCAAATTCCACCTTAATGTACATTTATAAAGAACCAATTTATAAAAACAATGAATGGATGGGGGAAGGCCAATGAAGTAGAGGAGATGGAATGTGGTGGAGAGAGAAGAGGAAGGGAGAGGAGGTACTAGGAACTGAAATGGAACAAATTATATTCTGTGTATGTGTGATTATGTCAAAATGAACCCCACTATTAAATATAGCTTTTTAATGCACTAAGAAAACCCAAAAGTTGTTCTCATAGAATTAGAGAGTTAAAATAGTGATTACGAGAGGCTAGGGAAGGGAGAAGGTGGGGTGGTTGGATGGGCAGAAATTGATCCAATGGGTGCAGTTAGATAGAAGAATTAAATTCTATTGCCAGTAGGAGTGTTGATAACAGTTAACAAAAATGTATTATATATTTCAAAATAGCTAGGAATGTGGGTTTTGAATGTTCTCATTATAAAGAAATGAGAAATATTTGAGTTGATAGATATGCTGACTACCCTGGTTTGATCATTACATAATGTATACATGTATTGAAACATCATACTGTACCCCATGTGTAAAATTATTATGTGTCAAGTAAAAATAAAATAAAACTTAAAGTTAATGGTACAACCCAGGTCGTGGGTGGGAGTATGTACTTAGAATTCTTTGTAATTTACTGTATACATATAAAATTTTTCACAATAAAGTATCGAAAAAAATGACAAAAGCTTGTTTTATTTATTTATTTATTTATTTATTTATTTATTTATTTATTTATTTATTTATTTATACTAGGGGTTGAATATGGGCATGTTTTACAACACTGAGCTACATACCTGGTCCTTTATATTTTTTATTTCAAGACAGGGTCTCACTAAGTTTCTTAGGCCCTCACTAAGTTGCTGAGGCTAGCCTCACAGATGTGTACCACCATGTCCAGAAAAAAACCAGCATATTTAAAGATGTATTTAAAAATAATTATGTTAGTAATGGATGTAAGAGGAACATTACCAACAAACTTTCACCCACATCCAGAGTTTTGCATGGAACACTTTGGAAATATAGCAGGCATTTATTACATTTAGGCTTCTTTTGTTTAAGTAATTTCATGGCTCATTCTTGACCCTTTAACACTTGATTCTCTTTATTTTATTTTTTAATTACATGACAGCGGAATGCATCACAATTCTTATTACACATATAGAACAATTTTTCATCCCTCTGTATATAAAATATGTTCCCATCAATTCGGGTCTTTATACATGTAAATTGGATAATGATGTCTATCACATTCCACCATCCTTGCAATCCCCTGGCCCCTCCCTTTCCCTCCCACCCCTCTGCCCTATCTAGAATTCATCTATTCCTCCCATGCTCTCCCTCCCTACCCCACTATGAGGTCACTTTATTTTTGATTGTGCTAATTCTTGAACCATTGGAGAATATTTTTAAGTAATTGTATCAAAAAGTGAACTTGGGCATTATGCTTGGGGAATACTTTAATATCTGAGAGTTCGTACCTTTATCTATGAATGTCACTTTTCCTTGTCAGATGTTTAGGTATCAATATCACCTTTTCCAAATCTCTGCCTTTGCTTCATTTCATGGCATTACTATAAATTCAAGGCTCTATCTCTTACCATCTCTATTTGAAAAAGAAAAATAAGACAATAACACTTTTAGAAAATAGAAATGAAGAAAAATATAAATCAAAATTCTAGCAACCACAGTCAATATGTTTAACATTTAAAAATATTTATTTTTCAGCATTTTACGCAGCTGACATTTCATATACATGGGGTTTTCATTCTGTGCTTTTCCCTATTCATTAAGTAACTCTTTATAAACATTTTGATTCTTTATAAATATATTTCCACTGACAACTAAATGTTATCAAATGGTTTAGTAACATCTTCCTCAGTTTTGTTTGGTTGATTGTGCATGCTACAAATTATCTATATGTTTGGATCCATGTATATTTTATCTTTAAAAAACTTGATAATTTTTCAAGGCAGAACAAAAAGTTGCTTGCAAACAATATTTCCTCTATAAATATTTGTATCTCTTAATCTTTGTTTCATGTCTCAATAGTTTTTGTTTCATGATTAATGTAAAATAATTATGATGGATTATGTTGACTTTTTTGGTTGACTTCAATGGGAATTCGGCTAGAGTTTACATCCATTTAATGTTTATTGTTTTTTAAGTTGCATGTCTTTTATCAGATATAATTGAATAGTCTTGTTTGGAGTTAACTTTCTTCTGGGACACTGGGGTATAGAATTTATTCCTCTAGATCCCTTGGTTTCTCTACTTATTCACTAACCATGTTAGAGCTTAGCCTAATTTCTCTCCTTTTTCCTGGTTACAGATCTTGGTTCCACAAAAATAAAGAGCTAAGAAAAGCTGGGTGCAGTGGTGCATGCCTGTAATTCCAGCTATTTGGGAAACTGAGGCAGGAGGATCCCAAGTTCAAAGCCAGCCTCAGCAATTTAGCAAGATCCTAAGCAACTCAGTGAGAACTGTCTCTAAATAAAATATAAAAAAGGGCTGGAGATGTGGCTCAGTGCTTAAGTACCTCTGGGTTCAATCCAGAAGAAGAAGGAAGAAAAAAAAAGAATAGAAAAGTGAAACTTGTAAGCCAAAGATAAGATTATGTAATCAAATTGAGAGATCAGGACAGAATTATAGGATGTGAACTCTATGCCCTCACCTCTCAACACACAAACCATTAATTGGTTTACTTACTGCTTAAGGAGGGGCTATGAAGAGGCTCCCAGCCTGCCAATGACTTCTGTAACTGCTTTTACTTTCCTGAGCTGCAGTTACTTATGTTTAACCTGTTGTCCAGAACAGACCCTTGTTCTTGCTTCTTGCCCCTGGAGTTTGGGGTTTTAATATAAATTGTGCCCTTGAGATATTTGGTCCTGGTTTGCTGCTTTCTGGGCCCTCCTCTTATTCCATGTATCCTCAAGGGCCTAATGCTTTTAACATAATGGGAACAAAGTGCTCTTTGGGGTTAACTAGGTACCTGCTGGGAATATACCCATTCAGTCCTGGTCCCAGAGGCAGAATAGCAGATAGACAGCTTTTCGATTCAGGTTCCTCAGGTGCTAATTCAGCCCTGCCTTTTGAATCATGGTCCTCATTATAGAAGGTTCTGAAGTCTTCCCATATCAAAATATCTTCAGGGCTGGGCTGTAGCTCAGTGGTAGAGCCTGCCTTTCATGTGTGAGTCATGGGTTCAATTGTCAGCACCACATAAAAACAAATAAATAAATAAATAAATTGTGTTCATCTACAACTAAAAAAAAATTTATATAAATATCTCCACTCTGTAGCCTTCTCAGAGTTACTCCTATTTCCTGCTTCACAAATTTTATGAGAAACGTAAGTTTTACTTCTTTCTCCTGAATACTTTTCATCTCACTGCAACTTACTTTTGTGTCAACATCATATAAATAAATATTGCTTTTAATAGTGCCTCAAAACGGGCTGAAATTAAAATGTCAAAGGGATATGGAAATAAGTGAATGGGAAAAGGCAGGCAAATAAAAATAAACTAGTGTGACAGTATTAAAAACACATAAAGAAAAACATGGGCAAATGTAACATACCTGACAAAGAAGAATGGTTAATAAAAATAAAATAATGTATATTTCTTTTTTAAACTCCTGGAGCATAGAGAAGAGAGAATAATTAACTGCACAATCTTTCTGTTGTGTCAGAATTTTTGCTGATACTCCAAGTTGGATGTTAGATGTTCATATATTTTCAAAGGAACCAAGACACATCTTCACAGAAGTTGTTGAGTGGCTTACAATCTGGGCTGCTTCACAGAAGTTGTTGAGTGGCTTACAATCTGGGCTGCTTCACAGAAGTTGTTGAGTGGCTTACAATCTGGGATGCTACACCTTGACCTTGCTATTTATTTCTGAATGGACAAATAAATAAATGAAGAAAAATAATAAATAAAAAATATATAAAGGTTTCAAGGCAGTTCGAGGATAGTCTGGCATTGCAATTTACCAGTGTCATCTAAATTGCCTGATCCTTCATAATTCCACTTAGGCCTTCAACCTGAGCCCCTATTTCTGGGTAGAAAAGTATTAACAACAATCCTTTCATAACTTCCTGACTATGAGGGTGGCTATGAAGATTACATGAGGGGTTGGGGTTGTGGCTCAGTGGTACAGCACTTGCCTAGCATGTGT